TGTGTCCATCAAGTCCTGTGCCGACAGGGCAATCTTGTGACTATTGTGGGAGGGACATTTCAGTCACATGTGAAACAGCCTGTTTGGGGGTATATAATCACTCTGTGCACCTCACTTCCTTGGTGCCCTTTCTTCCCTCGGGAAGAAAGGCCCTGGGCGGTGGTCCTCAGATTTCAGCTCAGAATAAACTCACCCAAATTTTCATTTATAGATTGGTTATGGATTATTTTCGTAGACAGGCTTAAGTAACTTGCTGAATGTCACAACGTGACTTGCTGAGAGCTAAGGGTGCTGGTATGGAATGAGGGATGCTCAGAAAAGCGCTCCATCCCTCTCCCCATTTTCCAGCTCCTCTGAAGCCCTCCACAGCCCTCAACATGGATTTTGAACATATTCATAAAACATCCCTACCGGTTTAATGTCTCCTTGGAATGTCTCCACCCCTGGGATATAGAGGGGGCCACAGAGGGTGGTCTCCTGTCCTCATCTCTTGCTCCTATATGATTAAATATCATCTCAGGAGCTGTCATTTATTGAGAGAGCATATACCCATACCGTATGGTCAGATGTTTTACATATATTGTCTTAAACCCTCACACCAGCCCTGAGAGAAGGCATTATTGTTCCCATTTTACAAATGAAGAGGCTGAGGCTCAGAGAGGTTAAGTAACTTGTGCACTGTCACCCAGCTAGTGGGTAAAGAGCCAGGCATTAGTCTCAGATCGTCTGCTCTTGCCATCTCTCTAAAGCAGATCTCTCCTCGGCCCACTGTTCCTTGTCACATTTCTCTGCTTAGAGTCGTCTCAGCTCTTACCACATGCTGGAACCATCCCGTTCATGTCTGTTTGCTTGTTTGCCATCCGCGTCCCCAACAATGCTCTTTCAGAGCCAGTCCTGGTTTGCTTTTCATGACAGTCTCTCCAGCACCCAGCACAGCGGCCGGCTCGAAGCGTTTGTTGTTTGACAGACTGAGTGAAGGGATTATGTCGTGGTGCCTCTTGACACAGACCCCAGCGGGGTTGCCTTGGGAATGAGAAGATGCCCCTGCTGGCAGTGCCCTCCTGGTGTGTGTGGAGTGGGGGGCCGAGGTTCAGTGGGACAGAGCTCCTCTGGAGGCCTGTGACTTGGTGGGGTCTCTGTTGGTTCAGGGTCAGAAACATGGTTCCAGTCATGCCAGGAGTGGGCAGAGCGGGGGAGGCTGACTCACGTTAGTGAAATTCAATGGAGGGTGATGTGCAAATTGAAATGCCAAGGCCAAGGGGGCCTGGGCGCCTTGCTGCCAGCCAGCGCTTGCTCCAGAAGGAAAATTGACACCTGGAGGAAGTCAGCCATGGGAAGAGGTTCATCAAATAGGAGTCAGAGTAAAGGGAGTGGGTCATCGTAGTGTTTACTGTCATCAGAGGAAACTGGATAACCTCCGTGGACCATGTCATCAAGGAGGGGTGGATGATCGTTTTTTTAATTGAAGTGTAACTTAGATACCGTAAAGTCTTAAGCAAATAACTTGATGCATTTTTACATATATATCCACCCATATAACCACCGCTCAGGTTACTTCCCAGAAACTTCTCTTGTGCTCTTCCCAGTAAGCAATCCCCCACCGCCACTCAAGGGCAACCACTGTTTAGATCTCGGTTACTGTAAGATTGGTTTTTCTAGTTTTGAATTTCAAATATATGAAATCATGCACTATTTACTCTTTTCTGTCTGAGTTCTTTCACTCAAATTGTGCCTGTGCAATTCAACAGTGTCGCTGTGTCTATCAGTAGTTCATTTTTTTTACTTTTGTGTAATGTTCTATTGTATGAATATACCAGAATTTATTTACCCATGCTACTCTTTTTTTTTTTTTTTGAGTGAGGAAGAGTGGCCCTTAGCTAACATCTGTTGCCAATCTCTCTCTTTTTTTTTTTGCTCAAGGAAGATTGTTGCTGAGCTAACATCTGTGGCAGTCTTCCTCTATTTTGTATGTGGGATGCCACCACAGCGTGGCTCAACGAGTGGTGCTAGGTTCGCACCCGGGATCCAAAACTGTGAACCTCGAGCTGCTGAAGCAGAGTGCATGAACTTAACCACTACACCACCATGCTGGCCCCTACCCATACTACTGTCGATGGACATGTGGGTTGTTTCTTGTTTTTAGCTATAATGAATAAAGCTGCTATGAATATTCTTGGACCTATTGTTTGGCTGTCATAGGCACTCATTTCTATTGGGAACACATCCAGGAGTGGAATTGCTGCGTCATGGGGTACACAGGACTAGATATTGCCAAAATCTCTTCCACAGTGGTTCTATCATTTTAGAGTTGGATAGTCTTAATAGTTAATGTCATCAAAGGGAGTTGGATAATCTTAATGATGTCATCATCCATGACGCCCACTCATAGTCCCATCTCCAGCAAGGAAATGTACCTGGCCGATGGCCAGAGGCCGTGTGTCTGCTGGCTGGGCCCCATCTTTTCTGGCCTGTGCTGGCCGGGCCCTGAGAAATTCCAGCTCTCCAGCTCTTTTCAATATTCCTTATCAGTCACCAAAGCTTCTGTCATTACAATACCGCCTGGCTACGGGCAAGCCACAGTGTCCAAGATTACAGCTTATCTTCCATTGGAGGCTGTGAAATCAATGTCTTCCTTGTTGAGAAGCACCCCAGGTCTCTTGCAGACATCCATGCGGCCTCCTGGCTTATCAGCAACTGGCATGTACGTCATGCATTGCTGGGTTGTTTCCTGAGGACCTTGTCCACAGATAGCTATCTCTTCCATGCTATAGTGATGTTCATGCATTTTCATTGCAGGGGGTGACAGTTTCAGACCTATTCCCCAGATTCTAGGGTGCATCTGATATAGGGACTATGTGCTGATTACAAAATTTATAGAAAGTGAGTTGAAAAAGACCTCAGAGGTCATCTAATTCACTCCCCTCTTATGGGCAGGGAAACTGAGGCCCATGAGGTCTGACTCGCCCAAAGTCGCATACCTTGTCTCCTGACAACTAGCCTAGGTTCATTCCTCCATGGAAGCTGAGCAGGCAGGATGGTCACCTGGACACTCAGACTCTGAGTTGGTGGCAGCTGCCACTGTTTGCAGAACCTGCTGCTGTTTGCAGAGACTTTCAGAGCTGAACATGGCCAGTGTCACTCCTAATTGCTGCCTCACCAGCTGCTCCACCTGCAGCCGAGCTACCTCCCTGGACAAACCTCTGTCGTTAGTTCATGGCTGTCCCATCGGTGTTGGCTGGAGCGACTCTGTGAAGCTGTTACTTGTGGCCACTGCAGACCACATCAGAGTTCTACTAAGAACCTCTCATTGATCTGGGGTTATCGTCACATCCACACTCATGAGTGCTCACGGGTGGCAGCATTCTCTCCATTTTAGAGATGAGAAAACGAGGGTCCAAAGATCACTAGTGTTCTTTGAGGCCTGGTTCAAACGCTGCCTCTTCCATAGAGCCTTCTGTGCATGTCCCTCTATCAGACAGTGCTGTCTCTCTCCTCTGACCTCCTAGGACCTCCTATGCCTCTCCTATGATACCCAGCAACTTCACCATGGGATATTCTTATGAATTCATTTATTCAGTGTTCACTGAGTGCTTGCTATATTCGAGGTCTTGTGCTGGGGATACCAAGACGAAGCTCACGGTCTGGCAGGCAGATAGATAAGAATCTGAATTTGGTGGACACACAGATTGATGCTTTGTTGTTGCGCTGGGGGACTGACGGATACAGAAGGAGGGAAGGAGCCGGTCAATCATAGGATGCTTCCTGGAGGAAGTTACACATTTTATGTACAGCTTTTATCTCACCTCTGTGTGCCTCTTTTGGGCAAGGACTCTCTTTTCACCCCCTTGCGTCCCTCACGCCCTGGATTAGCTCTCCCATCTCCGCTCTCTCCACCCTCAGCTGTGAGCAGACAGATGTGACCTTGGGAGCCTTGCCCTCCTTCCCAGAGCCCAAGCTTTGGCAGGCTGGGAGCTGGTTTGCCTTGCGGACACTGAGAGAGGGGCTGTGAACTTTTCCAGTTCAGTCATTTCCCCTTTGGGTCCCCCTGGCCATGTCTTAGCTCTAGTTCCCCGCTCCTGGGCACTCTGAGAGAGGGCAAGGAGGGGCCACAGTCTTTTGAGAGCTTCTAGGCCCCTGGTGAGACCTTCTGTCTCTTGGAGAAGAGGCTGGCACAGGCTCAGGGAGCAGTGAGGGAAAAGTGGTAGGCCCTTGGGTGAGGGGAATGTGCAGTCTGTGAGGTCGGAGGCTATCTCTCTAAAAGTAGAGCCTGGGGTGGTTGGGGTCGGGATGCAGTTCAGGCAAGTGATTTGCTGAGAAAATGCTCACAGGAGAAACTGTAAGGAGAAGCAGCTGGGCAAAAATGTGGTTCAGTTGACTTAGCCTCAGCCTGTTCCCAGGGGGCTCTGGATTGTGGACAGCACCACAGTCATCCCACTTTGCTGCAAGGGAGCTGGGCATTTGCACTATGTCCATCAGTCATGGGGGGGAGGTGCGTTTTGGGGATGGGGGTGACCTCCTAAGCATTTCTGACCCAGGCAGCTCCCACTGGCTACGGGTACTTCCCTGGGAAGGTGAGCTCTGTGCACCTAGCAGCTAACACCCACAGCAGCTGGTGGATGGATGCATCTGCCGGCTATGGGTTGCTGGGTGGAGCGCCAGCAGCCTCCATGACAGGGGGCTGCTAAGACAGTGATGCTCGCTGAGTGAGAACCAGTGCACACAGATTACAAAGCCCCTCACACGCATCAGCTCATTGAAGAGCACAGGTCTCTTGCAAGGTGGGTTGGATGGGGAGGAATTGCCCCTTTTCTGGGTCCTCAATCCTTCTGCTTCTGGCCTGGGGCCCTGGGAGGATTCTTTCTTGAACTCAAGGGAGTCAGCCCTCTGAGGAATAGTCTGGGGAGGTCTGGGTTGACCCCTCTCCCTAATACATCAGGAGGGAGCCTGAGACCCCCTCAGGCCTTGATGCTTCTTGTCTAAACCAGCCTCCTCTCCCACAGCTCCAGCCCAAGCTCAGATCGTACACGCCGGCCAGGCATGTGTGGTGAAAGAGGACAACATCAGCGAACGTGTCTATACCATCCGGGAGGGGGACACCCTCGTGCTGCAGTGCCTTGTCACCGGGCACCCTCGGCCCCAGGTAAGCCCCCACCCTGGCCTTGCGTGGGCCCCTCCTCCTCCCTCCCCACCCAACTCTGGGATCAGAGCCTGAGAAGAGGCAGGAGGAGCTGGGACGAGAGGCAGACAGTAGAAAGTAAACAGAAGCTAGGAGACTGGGGCTGAGGAACAGCTGGAAAATGAACTCTGCGGGGAAGGGATGGAGGCTGTGCACTCATTCACCTGAAAACATTGACGGCTGAGGGGAAAAACTGAATGTCAGTTGTTCAGTTCCACTCCATTCCACGTATCTGTTGAGCAGACACTTCTTCAGATGCACCTTCAACCACCGCCTGAGGGCGGACTGTGTGCCAAGCACCATGCTAGCTACTTTCTCCAGTGTTTTCTTTTCAGATCCTCATCACCATGCTCTGAGGAAGGCATTAGGGCCTCCACATTACAGCCGAGGAAACTGAGGCTCAGGGAGTTGGGTGGACCCCCAAGGTCACACAGCTCTTGGGAGGGTGGAAGCAGAATTTGAATCCAGAACCAGTGTTCTTTGTAGCTCGGCTCGCTTCCTTCCAGGGTATCAGTCTTTGGGTTAGGGCTCCAGGACTTACCAATAAAATCTAATACAATCTCTACCCCAGGAGGCTTCAGGTAGGCAAGCCCCACACTCCTGAGGTTAAAAGACTCAAAGCAATTAGGAAGCAACAGAAGATGAGTCTTTGGAAGTGCCAGGTGACTTTGGTCCCAGAGCAAGTGTGTGGTTCGGGCAGGAAGTCTGGGCAGTTATCACTGAGAGCTGATGAGACGAGGCGGGAGAAGGTGGGCTGGAGGGGTGGCAGAATTTGCTGGTGAGCCGCTATGACCTTTAAGAATGGCAGAAAAGGTTTCGATTGGTTCCTAGGAAAGACAGTGAAAGGCGAAATCCTTTTTTCGGGATAATTTTGGGAACGGGGACAGCTTTAATAGGTTTGGCTGTGAGACAAGCAGAAAGACAAGGAAACCCCTAAAGACTCTTTCAACCTAAACTATTATCACTGCTTGCTCCTTCTCAAAGGCTTGTTTAGAAGTGAAAACAATTCTGGTCTTCAGGTTGACATTCATATCAGGTTTGACTATTAGGATGGTCCTCCCTAACGCCAGGGAGGCAGCTGAGCCACCTCTCCCTAAGGCTGCACTGGCCATGTGTGTCCTCTTGAGCATCGCATGTATGAGCCATTTGGGGCTGTGGCTATGTGTACACACACCCATTTTTCTATTTCCAGCCATGGTTTCATTTTCTTCCTGCTACCCAGGCTCAAACCCTTGGGCTCAGATTTGACTCCGTCCCATCTCTTCCCCACTTCTAGCCAGCCTCGGAGGACTTTCTTTTTATGTCTTTTGCATGGATCTTCTCCTTCTATTCCTCATTCGCCCTCCAGGTCAGATCTTCAGTTCTATTCCTTGGACCACTGCATTAGACTGCAACTGGCCTCCCTTTCTCACACATCTCCCCCTCCAACCCATTCCTGTACCTTGCTCCCTGTACCATCATCCTCAAACTGGCTACATCATATCACTCCCCTGCTCAGAAACCTTCGATGGCTCCCCATTACCTCCCAGACCTCGCCCCCACCTTCCTTTCCTGTCTGATCTCTCACTGCCATCCTCCTCACACCCTGTGCTCCAGTTGAACTTGCTCAAGTGCACCCTGTTCATTCCTGCTTCAGCCACTGCTGCTCACCTCTCCTGAAATGCCACCTACCTCCTTTTTTGCTCATATCATGACAACAAATATTTATTGAGCACCTACTGGGTTCCAAGCACTGTGATGGGTCCTGAGCATACAGCTACAGTTCTCGTTGTCATGGAGTATCCAGTCTAGTCGGGGAGCAGGGAAGTAGCATCTCATGGCCCACTTTGTGGTCAGGATGGGGGACTGCATAGGCATGGACTTTCCCACTGCAAACAACTAGCAAGAGAGAGGAAATCTCGAGGGCCCAAATGAAGAAGGAATCTATAGCAATGGCGCTGAGGAGAAGTGGAAGAACCTGGTCCTTGGAGGGGCTTTGGCTGCATACTCACGTCATAGTTAGTAGTATTAACATACACGTGGGGTTATGAGTTGAGGCCACAGGTCCATCTATGGCTGGGAACTGCAATTGGACTCTATACCTACAGCTGGAAGCTTGACAGAAGTGGCACTATCTATGAATGGGGACCAGAAGATCTCTGTCCCACAGCCCAGAGTCTCAGCGGAGAGCAGACTCTGCTTCATGGTGTGGGCACAGAGTACCTATGAGTGAGCATAACCGTAAGCCTATCTAAGTCTTGCGCTGTCCAAGTGGTGAGGAAGCCTTAAGCTGAGAAGCTAGTATAAAAGCTGGTTTGAACCTGTGAACCCATGTATCTTAGGCATGGGAAACCATAAAGCTATACCACAGACAGGCCTGTTAGGGCCAAGTGGGACTTCTATGGAAGATAATTCCCAGTGAATACAAGCCTGTGGAATAAAATTTTAAAATACATTTAAAAATGCAGTGCCAGGAGAGCCAGTCCATAGACCCAAATAACTGAACAATTTACATCTGAGGAAACAGACATAATAGAGCAATCTGAAAGGATCTTTAAAATAAATATGTTTAAAATGTTTAAAAAGATAATGGAAGGAATAGAATCCCTAAGACAGGAGCTTATACAATCTGATCAGTTAGATACAGAAAAAAGTAAATACAAATTTTAGAAATAAAAATAATACAGTCTTTTGAAAAATTTGGCCTCAATACTGTAGAGACAGCTAAAGAGAAAATTAGTGAATTGGATGATAGGTCTGAGGAAATGAGCCACAATGCAGTCTGAAGAAGACAGAGATGGCAAATGTGAAAAGGAAGTTGGGAAATGTGGAGGATAGAAGGAGAAGCTACAAAATAAATGTAGGCATTCTAGAAGGCCAGACTAGAGAAAACAGAGGAGGCAATATTTACAGAGATAAAGGCTGAGAATTTTGTAGAATTGAAGAAACGTGCGAACCCTCAGATGGATAAAACAGACCAAGTCCTAAGCAGTTTGTAAACAAACCCCATCTAGATAAATCATGGTAGAACTGCAAAATGTCAAGTGTGAAAAGAGAAAATATTTTCTTGGCCTTGTTCTCTCTCCAAAGCACCCTCTGATCTAAGTATGAATTGCCTAAAACTGCCCATGGCCTTCCCCACGTTTTGTAACTTCTAAGTCCATGAGGGTAGAGTTCAGGATGGCGAGGGGATGAGAGCCGTAACAGTAAGGCCTAAAGTGGCTGCTCCCTGCATGAGAAGTCAGCCCTTTCACCCACTTCCCCCCAAGCTTGTTGTTTCTCTGGCTTAGTCACCAGGATCAGGGGCCTTGCCGTGTCTCAGTAATAAGCAGTCCTCCTCAACTGTAAGATGGGAGCTTCCCTACCCCATCTGCCAGTCCTTAAGACTTGATAAGCTGGAACTGATCCATTTTTCTCAAACCTCTAGTATTTCAAGTAGCAGCCCCAGTTTCTGGTGTGATCCTTGACAGCTTCCCATAATCTAAGGCAATGTTAATAATAAGAGAAATTTGTTGAATGCTTTGCACACTTTGTTTCTAAACCTCACAGTGACTCTGCAAAGTGGGTATTACGCTGTATAATGGAGTTATCTAGTGCCGCATAGCAAATGCCCCAAAACTTAGGGGCTTAAAACAGCAAACACTTAGTGTCTCACAGTTCCCGTGGGACAGGAATCCGGGAGCAGCTCACCTGGTTCTAGCTCAGGGTCTCTCAAGGCTGCAGTCATTTAGGACCGACTGGGGCTGGAGGATCCCCTTCCAAGCTAACTCTGTGGCTGTGGACTTGAGGCTTCTCTTCCTCCCCTGTGACCTCCCCATAGGGCTGCTCATGACATGACCACTGGCTTTCCCCAGAGTGAGTGGTCGGAGAAAGCAACCAAGATGGAAATCACAGTCTTTTATAACCTGATCTTGGAAGTGAGAAACCATCACTCCCGCCATAGTCTATTGGTCACACAGACCATCCCTAGTACAAAGTGGGAGGGGAATACAGAAAGGTGCGAATACCAGGAGACTAGCAACCGTGCAGACCTCTTTCACAGATGAGAAATCTGAAGCTGAGAGATGAGTAAGCTGCCCAAGGCCACTAACCAGTCAGTGGAATAACAGAACAATGTTCTCAAATTTGTAGTCTTCCAGGCATTTAGTATGTACGCATTTAATCCTCCCAGTAGCCCAACGAGGAGGGTAATATTCTCCACTTTACGGCCAAGGAAAGGAAGGCAACAGAGGTTGGGTAACTCGCCCACAAATCCATGCTCTTAACCACTGCGCCATACTGCCTTATTTAAGCCCCTCCGTCTGACTCCAGGCTCTTCGCTGAGGCATCCTACCCGGTCCGAGCATTCCCACGAGTCTGTCTGGGTTAGTTTCCTAGGCCTGTGTACGCCCCACGTGTGCTCGTGATAAACTATGTGTGTAGGAGGGGAGGCGCAGTTGCAGGGCCCTTCAGCCCGGAGGCCCCCACCCTCTGCCGCGTCTGACTCTGCCCCTCCTGGCTGGCCCAGGTGCGGTGGACCAAGACTGCGGGCAGCGCGTCTGACAAGTTCCAGGAGACGTCGGTGTTCAACGAGACTCTGCGCATCGAGCGCATCGCGCGCACCCAGGGCGGCCGCTACTACTGCAAGGCCGAGAACGGCGTGGGCGTGCCCGCAATCAAGTCCATCCGCGTGGACGTGCAGTGTGAGTCATTGCCCTCCCAGGGCGACCCCCGGCGGGGAGCTCAGGATGGGAAGGCAGAGTGAGGGCGGGGTCAGGATGGAGAAGCGACACTGCCCGGGAGGGGAACAGTAGAGACCTTCTGTCCTCTGGACTAGAGAGGCATGTCTGCTGTTCCTCCAGTGCGTACCACCCGTTGCCATTCATACATTCCCATCTGTAATCCCGTATGAACCTTGCAACACCCCCTGTAAAGTGGTCAGGGAAGGCAGGGCGGGTTGGATTGTACCCATTCCACAGATGAAGAAACCGAGGTACTGAAGGCTTGTGACTTGCTCACCTGCCTAGGTCTCTTGGTTCTGGTCCACTGCGCTTCCCATAGTACCTGCTGTCTTTGCTTTTGTCCCAGGGGCAGCTCTGAAACATCCCTCCCCTACCACCTGCAGGACCAAGCACCCTCAGCCCTTGCTGATGGTTGAATGGGAAGCCCCTAGTCCCTCCTGCCCTGAACACCAAGAGGCTATTTCCCTGCTTGCCACCACCTCTGTGCCCATCCAAACTGACCTATGTACCCAGAAGCTGTGGGGCTAGGCCCAGGGGCCTGTCTGACACCATCTTAATGTCTACAATGAACCTACCTGTTAAATATGCTGCACACCCCTCAAGTGAGACCCGATAGAGTGATGAGCGATGGAACCCCCAGACCCTCTCTTCTGTCCCCCATCAGCCACGCAGGGGCCTGCCAAACCCTGGGGCTGAGGGTCATTGCTCAAGTTATTGGTGCTGGCAGGGCTGGCAGGCAGGGTGTGGGCTTCACCAGTGCCCCACCTCCACCCAGGGTCTTGGTTATGACTTCTATCCAGGTGGGCTTTGGGAGGACCGAATAATGGAATGTTGGGACATCCATTGTGGGATGTTAGAATGTAGATGTTGATGCCTTTGGTTCACAACCCTGACTGCACATTAGAATGTCTAGGGGATCTTTAAAACAAAAATACTGCTGCCTGGGTCCCACATCCAGAGATTCCAATGTAATTAACTGGGGATGGGGCCCAGACATGGGGATTTTTTTCTTAAGCATTTTTATTAAGGATTAACGTACATCCAACAGAGTGCACTAATATTAAATGTACAGTTCAATGAATTCTTATATATGTGTATGTGTAAACACCATCCAGTCCAAGAGCATTTCCAGGACCCCAGAAAGTGCCCTCATGCCCCTTCCCAGTCAATGATCTCCTTAGAGGCAGTCCCTCTTCTGACTTCTGACACGATCCATGAGCTCTACCAGGCATCAGTATTAAAAAAGAAAATCCCTGGGGCTGGGCCGGTGGCACAGCGGTTAAGTTCACACACTCAGATTCGGTGGCCCAGCGTTCGCCAGTTCGGATCCTGGGTGCGGACATACACACCACTTGTCAAGCCATGCTGTGGCAGGCATCCCACATATAAAGTAGAGGAAGTTGGGCACTGATGCTAGCTCAGGGCCAGTCTTCCTCAGCAAAAAGAGGAGGATTGGCAGTAGTTAGTTCAGGGCTAATCTTCTTCTTCTTCAAAAAGACTCTGCTTTCAAAAAGAAAATCTCCATGTGATTCTGTTGTGCAAACAGGGGTTGAGAACCACTAGTCTAGTCCAATTCACCAGTGAGGAACAGCCCCAGAGAGACAAGGGACTCAGGCAGGTCACACCAAAAATTCACAGCTAGCCTGGGATTCAAACCAGGGTTTCCTGACTTCCAGTCTGCAGCTGCTTCCTCCATTCCATGATGGGAGGGTGAAGAAAGACACCCCCCATGCAGGTCCTTGGGGAGGGACAGCTGGGAAGCCATCAAGTCCAGTCCCCTGTCTCTAATGGGTTAGTCAAACTTCAGGGCTGGGAGAGCATCTGGCTCTCTGGAAGCATTCTTTGAGGGTGGCTTAGCTTTTCCTGAGGGCTGCCAAGAGCCTAAGCTCCTGACCTTGGGGTCACCCAGCCCTGACTCCCTTGGGGTTCTGCCCTTGCAGACCTGGACGAGCCAGTGTTGACGGTGCACCAGACGGTGAGCGATGTTCGAGGCAACTTCTACCAGGAGAAGACGGTGTTCCTGCGCTGCACTGTCAACTCCAACCCGCCAGCCCGCTTCATCTGGAAGCGGGGCTCTGACACCCTGTCCCACAGCCAGGACAATGGCGTCGACATCTATGAGCCTCTCTACACCCAGGTGAGGACAGGCAGCAGCTGGCCTGGTCTCCTCATGGCTACACTCTTGCTCCTGCACCCAACAAGCAAGGGGGGAATAGGGACTGAGGCCTCACACCTGGAGTTCCGGGGACTGCCCTGACTCCAAGAATTCTGTTCTGACGTCAGAAGCATGCATTCTGATTGGACAACCTGGGGCAGATGAAATCGGGACAGAAAGGTCAGGGAGCAGTGGTGAGGACAAGGGAATCCCCAAGACAACATGTCCTCCAGGAACATGGCTAGTTAGGAAAGGCACCCCCTAGGGGCAGGCACATTATCCCTGCCCACTGCTGGCAGGCAGAGTATTGGAACCCATGGGCAGGCACGGCAGGAGTTGGGGGCAGAGGAATGACTCTACGTCCCATGGGTCCCCTATGGTCCCAGGAGATGGTGATGAAGCCATCCTACCAGGGAGGGCTTTCAGAGGTGGCTATCCTAAGTGGCTGTCAGAGCTCCACATGTGGCCATGGCCTGTGGGCCAGCCCTATGTTTGTATGGGTTGTAAGAAAGAGCAGGATTCCCTCCGTACCCTCCATTTCCCAGAGTGGGGAAACTGAGGCCCAGTCCTGGCCAGTGTGCACCAGGACAAGCTCAGACTCGGAGAAGCCCAGGGGATGGAGAGTACAGCATCTGCCTAGGCTCAGACTCCCTGGGGGTAAGTGGTGTGGAGGCTGGGAAAGATAGGAATTAAAACAGGAATTTGCTTTAGCCTGGTGCTGGGTGAATGTGTGTGGGACCCCTGGAGACTCGAGCAGGCCCCTCACCCCAGTGGTCCGCTGCTGCCTAGGGGGAGACCAAGGTCCTGAAACTGAAGAACCTGCGGCCCCAGGACTATGCCAGCTACACCTGCCAGGTGTCTGTACGCAATGTGTGCGGCATCCCGGACAAGGCCATCACCTTCCGGCTCACCAACACCACGGGTACAGGCACTTCCCCACCCGTATCCCTTGCCCACTGGGCTGACTCCCCAGCCAGGAGGCAGTGCCCCACCCCACACAGGACTCTAGGCACATCACCATAGTGCGTCTCCTCCTCCCCTCTGCCTGCTCCCTGCCTTCTCCTCTCTCTTCTCCCCTGAGTCCTTCCCCGACCCCATGTTTTCCCAACCCCCTTAATCTCCCCCACATCCAGCCCTGCCTCATGATCCCCTAAGACCCCACCTCCTTGTCCTCTTAGCACCACCAGCCCTGAAGCTGTCTGTGAACGAAACTCTGGTGGTGAACCCTGGGGAGAATGTGACGGTGCAGTGTCTGCTGACAGGCGGTGATCCCCTACCCCAGCTGCAGTGGTCCCATGGGCCGGGCCCGCTGCCCCTGGGTGCTCTGGCCCAGGGTGGCACCCTCAGCATCCCTTCAGTGCAGGCCCGGGACTCTGGCTACTACAACTGCACAGCCACCAACAATGTGGGCAACCCTGCCAAGAAGACCGTCAACCTGCTGGTGCGATGTACGTGCCTCCAGAGGGCTGGGAGGGCACATGGAAGGCAGGCAGGGTTCCTGGCCTCCAGGAACCACCAATGAAATGGGAAAGGGGCCTGTCTGGTTCCATTTGGTAGGTGAGAGATGCTGAAGGGGCATGTCCAGGTACTTTGATTTCCCTGCAATTCAGGTGTCTGCCAGCAGATGGTGGAACTAAAATTTGCATAAAGTTATTTACATTTTACAATCTGCATTTCTAAATATAACCTCAACAATACAAGAAGTAGGAAGGGCTGGTGTAGATTACCTACATTTTTTTTAGATTGGGAAACTGAGGCTGCAAAAAGCTAAATGTGTTACATCCCAGTCTTCAAGAGACATTTCCTGGCTTTCTTCCTGTACAATGATTTCTAAATGATTAACAGGGTTAAAGTGAAAATAACATACATTCCCACATGCCTCATAAGTAAATCTTATTAGCAAAGCATTTCAGAAATTCTGAAGATAATTACTAAGTGTAAGAATGATATGAAACTTGGAATCCAATTAAAGACATACACTTTCCTTGCTAAGCCTCAGCCTCAGTAGTTACCATTAGCTACTCAGTATGATGTTGACTTTGCTACTCTGCTTTAAGGAGAAAACTTTAAATTCTTCTGCTTGTGAAGCTTTAGATTGTTGTTTGTTTATTTATTTATTTTTTTAAAGATCCAGGCTTATTTCTAGTTCTTTAGCACTTGAAAGTAAAGTACAGCTTCTGTCAAATTCAATTGAGAGTCTTCTGATGAAATGGACTCTCTTTTTTCTTCATTTCTCACTGACAGTCTCTCTCTGGCTCTTCTCACAAAGGAAGCTAGCTCCCTATCAATTTTTACTTACTCAGAGCCAGAAGGACAGTAGCCAGATTATTGCTATCTGATGACTACTTTTTCCTTAGATGGTACTTTTCCCATCAGAAGGTTATTTTTCTCCACCTGATTTCATTTGGCCTGTAAAACCTGGATTGATGAGATCACAATTTACATCAAATACTTATGGTCACCTCTTAGGGTGACATACAGCCTGCTTTGGCCAGCCCAGTCCTGATCTATGGCTGTTATACCAAGGTCCTGTCCAATTAGAACCCAATATTAAGAATTCTGTCTAAGTCTTGGCTTACATCAAACAATATTCAGATTTTTAAAGAGGCCAGAACCTTTTCTTTTTAAGCTCTGTGTTTTTATGTAATTGGAGGTAAAATGATTGTACTGGGCTTTTATTATAAAAATTACAAAAACTTGTTGCAAAGAGTCAAACAGCACAAAAGGGTAAAATGTGCAAATTAAAATTTCCCTCCAATTCTCCTGAGCCCCATTGTCTAGATAGAAGCACTATCACATTCTGGTGTGTCCTTCCAGAATTGTATTTTTCATATTCAAAGTTAAAAATAAGAATAAGGATAAAGCAGTGTAGCGGTTAAGAGTGCAGTCTCTGGGTCTGAATTCAAGGTTGGCTACTCCTTTGGGCAAGTTACTTAAACTGTCTGAGCCTCAGTTCACGCCTTTGTAGAATGGGAATGATAAAGTGCCTCTCTCAAAGGCTGTGAGAGGGGTTAAATGAGTAAATCCAGGTACGGTGCTGAGAACAGTACCTCTCACATAGTGTATCTTCAGTCAAAGTGGCTATAGTGACTACTAAACTCACTTTTCTACAGCAAGCTTTTTTGAACTTTTAGAAATGCATCTGAATGTCAATTATTACTCAACAAAACTGAAAAAAAAAAAAAAGCCAGTTCGAAGGGTGAAGCTGTATCTGGATGGGGTGAGACATAGGCTCTTGGCTTTGGGCCAGCCCCAGCCACCCTTCCCTCCCCCTCCACCCATAGCCATGAAGAATGCCACATTCCAGATCACCCCAGATGTGATCAAAGAGAGTGAGAACATACAGCTGGGCCAGGACCTGAAGCTGTCGTGCCATGTGGATGCAGTGCCCCAGGAGAAGGTGACCTACCAGTGGTTCAAGAACGGCAAGCCGGCTCGCATGTCCAAGAGGCTGCTGGTGACCCGAAATGACCCTGAGTTGCCTGCCGTCACGAGCAGCCTAGAGCTCATCGACCTGCATTTCAGCGACTACGGCACCTACCTGTGCGTGGCATCCTTCCCAGGGGCACCAGTGCCTGACTTGAGTGTCGAGGTCAACATCTCCTCTGAGACAGGTGGGCAGCTGGAGGGGAAGAGGGGAGGTGTGAGGGAGCTGGAGAGGCCCACAGAGGGGCGGTGGGGTCAGCAACTTGCGAAAGGGAGGCCAGAGTGAGGACAATCCCATTGTTCATGCTGTACACATTTTTTATTAAGCGCCTATTATATACTAGGCAATGTGCTAGGCACTGGGGTACAGTAGTGGGCAAAATAGGCTCTGCCTATTTTGAACCAAGTAGGAAAGCAAACATTTTTCAGATAGTCTCATAAATAAATATATCACTGCAAACTGTGATACATGAGAGTCAGGAAAGGGTTTCCTATGATAGAATATTTGATCTGAAATCAGAGGGAGGAGCAGGATTTTACTAGGCAAAGGAGAGCAAAGGAGGGTAGAAGAGAAAGGCAAGCCAAGGAATCAGCATGTGCAAAGGCACTGAGGCAGGAAAGTGCAGGGTCATTTGGAGAAATGAAGGAAGGAGAATGTGACTGGGAGGATGGAGTGAGATGAGAATGGAGAGGTCACAGGGGCCAGATTATGCAGGGGATTTCAGTCTTTATTCCAATGATAATAACAATAATGAAATAATAATGGCTAACATTTATTGAGTGTTTACTATGTGTTCTGATGATTTTATATTTATCTCATTTGCCTTCATGATTTAGCTTGTGGGGTAGATGGTTTATCTTCAATTTTTAGAGATGAAGAAACTTAGGGTCAGAGTTTAGCTTAGAGTTTAAGAAACTTACCTAAGTTAACATACCAATAAGTGGTGGAGCTGGCATTCGAACCCGGGCAGTCTGACTGCAGAGCCTGCTGTCAGCCACCATTGATGGTTTACACTTAGAAAATGACAGGAGTTTGGAGGTGATGACTTTGGAGAGGGTCCCTAGAATCTCATCTCCAGCCCCCACCCTGCACCTTGCACTGAGGAGCTGGCTGACTTTGACTATACTTCTTCAACTCCCTGGGCCTCAGTTCCTCTTCTGTGAGAGATTGAACTATGTGGCCTTGGAGGCCCCTCCCGTCCTGACATCTGCACAGGGAGAGGCCAGGTGAGGCTGGAAGGGTCAAAAAAGGCTTCTGGAAGGAGACCGACCTGAGCTGACGTTGGGAGTGGACCAGGCCTGCAGATTCCACAAATCCATTTTGCAAATCGCTGAGTGCCAGGCCCTGGGTGAGGAGCTGGGAACCCAGACACAAACGCCACAGCCCTATGCTCAGAGCTTGCTGCCTAGCTGGGGAGACAGATCTGTTGGGGAAGGGGGGGGATAAGGCAGGAAATGGAAGGGCAGACCTTAGAAGTGGGACACAGGAGCTAAAGGTGGACCTGAGAGAACGAGTAGTAGGCTGGCTGGGGACACAAGGGAATGCTTCTCGGAGGAGCCATGCTCCATGTGAGCATTTGCTAGGTGGGGTCAAGCCCGGGAGAGAAGGGACGGGGAGCCCCAAGGTGTATAAGCCTTGGCATGTCCAGGGAGTGTGTTCCTTACAAGTGGATTCTACAGCGGGGACCCAGGATGGGAGAGGGAAGATGAGGCTGGGGGGTGGCAGAGGCTGGATCATGAGGGCCTTGTTTACAGAGCCAAGGAATTTGAGCTTTAACCTGAGGGCAGTGTGGCCTCAAAGCAGAGGACACAGCCCTTTACTTGTGCGGGTGCAGAAGGGTTGGCAGCTGGGATGTTTCAGAAACAGGGAAATCAATGGGGCACAGGGCCATTTCCTCCATTTGGCTCATAGGCTTGATGCCTAGGGAATGGAAGCATTTTAAGGGCCTGTGGAAATGGTTTAGACCTGGAAAAATGAATTAATTGGCTCCAAAATACAAAGAGAAAGCTGCAAAATGAAAGCCAATAAATGTATAAGAGTCTACAGAGGATAAATTATGGTAACTAGATAACTGGACCGCCGCGTGCCTCGTAGAGTTATTTACAATTTTTATTTAATGTAGGACATTTTAATTTGTTTGATGTGATGTGAGATGGGACCCATGGAAGTCTTTAAAAAGACCCTCCATTTGGATGATGTGTTGAGTTGGCTTAAGTCTGGCTGTGAATAACAGAAAAACCCTAAATACTAGTGGCTTAAGCAAGCTAAATGTGTATTTCTTCTTCATGTAAAAGTGAGCAGTCTAGGCTGGAATAGTGGCTCTGCTCCACCAGGTCCTCAGGGCCCCAGGCTCCATCTTGTTTTACTATTCCATTATCCTTAGCATGTGAGACCTACACCCATGATGGCAGTTCCAGCTGCAGCTATCAGTCAGCATTCCAGGCTGCAGGAAGGAGAGGGGCACACCTCTCCCTTCAAAGACCCTTATTTTCCAGCACATCCCATTGGCCAGAATTTAGTCACATGGCCACAGCTAGCTGTAAGGCTGGCTGGGACATATAGTCTTTATCCCTGCTGTGTGCTCTGCTAAAACCCAGATATTCTATTACTTTGGAATAAAGGGTAAGGATGCTGGGGGACAGACTAGTGGTCTGTGATAACACTCCAGGAAAGAGGAGATGGAGGTTTTAACTAGAGCAGGGCCAGTGGGAGGGAGAGAGGGGACTGAGAGAGGAGATATTCTGTAGAACTGTTTCAAAGCTGGGATCCCCAATACTTTGTAAGGTGGGGCTAACAGGAAAGAAGGAATAGGCCAGCACGACATAGGCTCTCTTTCTGAGTTGAGAGACCCCGAGGTAGAGACTCAGGAGGCGGAGAGGATTTGGGGAGGTGAGTTCTACTTTGGAGATGCTGAAGGGTCTGTGGGACGTCTGGGATGGGGAAGGGAGGCTTGCACTGCGGGGAGGGAGGGAAAACCCTAGAGCGGAAGCGGGGGATTGGGGGGAGCTCTAACCCCGCTCCTCCCTCCCCCCACCCCTGCAGTGCCACCTACCATCAGTGTGCCCAAGGGCAGGGCCGTGGTGACTGTGCGCGAGGGCTCCCCGGCCGAGCTGCAGTGCGAGGTGCGGGGCAAGCCGCGGCCGCCCGTGCTCTGGTCTCGCGTGGACAAGGAGGCTGCGCTGCTGCCCTCGGGGCTGCCCCTGGAGGAGACCCCGGACGGCAAGCTGCGGCTGGAACGGGTGAGCCGCGACATGAGTGGGACCTACCGCTGCCAGACGGCTCGCTATAATGGCTTCAACGTGCGCCCCCGCGAGGCCCAGGTGCAGCTGAACGTGCAGTGTGAGTCCCATCGCCCCACCCGGACTACCTTCCCAGCTGTCCCTCCCAGTTCCCGGCCTGGCCCGCGCCCTCGTAACCCCTCATTCACCCCAGTCCAACAAAACCCCCCCACCTACTGCTGATGCCCCTAAATCCTCCTTGACACCCCCAGTGCTCTAAGATATGGGGGTTTGTGACTCTTACCGCACTTCCACCATCAAGTGTCCTCCCGTCTTCATTCCCAGGGACCCAGTCAACAAAGAAATAACTGATTTTGACAGGTGGGAATAGGAGTTTGAAGGAGGAAGGACCTTCAAGGAAACACTGTCTGATAGTATAATAATGAGTTGACTCACCACGTGCCAAGCATTGTTCTAAAACGTTTTAATGCACTAACTCATTTAACCCTCCTCAGCGCTGTGAACTGTTACTCCCCGGTTTTTACAAATAGGAAAACCGAGTCACAGAGAGGCTAAGTAATATGCGTAAGATTTCACAGCTGGTTAGAGGCAGGGCTGAGATTTGAATCTAAGCCATCTAGCTCCGGGGATCATGCTCTAAACCCCCTACATTATGCTGCTTTTCATTACATGAGGGATGAAGGAGCATTTAAGTCATAAATAGAGGCCCAGCCTGGGAAGCATGGCCGGAGGGAATGGCCGGAGGGGGCAGGTATCTACAGGTCGGGAAGGTATGAGCGTGGCTGTTGTATGAGTGTGCTGCGAGTGTGTATCCGCCCTGAGAGCCTTCCATGCTGCAGGGCGCGGGAGTAGGGGCGAGAGCGTCGCCTCCCCATGGGGCTGATCCTCAGACCCCTCTCGGTGGGGAGAGGCCCCGCTGACCGCCGCCCCCGCCCCCAGTCCCGCCGGAGGTGGAGCCCAGCTCCCAGGATGTGCGCCAGGCGCTGGGCCGGCCCGTGCTCCTGCGCTGCTCGCTGCTCCGAGGCAGTCCCCAGCGCATCGCCTCGGCCCTGTGGCGCTTCAAAGGGCAGCTGCTGCCTCCGCCGCCCGCCGTCCCCGTCGCCGCTGAGGCCCCCGACCACTCCGAGCTGCGCCTCGACGCCGTCACCCGCGACAGTAGTGGCAGCTACGAGTGCAGCGTCTCCAACGACGTGGGCTCGGCGGCCTGCCTGTTCCAGGTCTCGGGTGAGCGTCCCGTCGGTCCAGCCCCACCCAACCACCGCCACCTGGGGCCAGGCTCCGGCCCGGCCCGGCCCCCGCCCCTTTCAAGCCTGCCTACACCAGGTTTAGACCCCTGCCTTTCCAAGACCCGCCCCTGCCTCCCGGCTCCAACCGTGACCTCCTCCTACGGCCCCGCCGCCTCCACTCTCGCCCACTCCAGTTCGGCTCCTTCCACTTTCAAGGCTCACTTATACCTGGCCTAAGCTCCGCCCCTTTTAACTCAGCCGCCTCTCTGGCCTCTGACAGCCCCGCCCCTTTCAAGCCCCGCCTTCCCCAGGCCAGGCTCCGCCCCTTCAGACCTGCGAACACCGAGTCCGGGCTGTTCCCTTTAAAAGCCCACCCACACCGCGCCTACGCCCCGCCTACATGAGGCATAGGCTCCACCCCTTCCAGCCTCGTCCAATCCCAGGTCTCCACTTCCTGCTTGTCCCGTAGCAGCCATCGCTTGGCCCCCTCCAGCCCCGCCCACAGCAGCTTTAGGCCCGCCCCCTCAAGCCGTGGGCTCCGCCCCATCTCAGCCGTCCCGTTTCAAGCCCTAGAGGGGCCAGATGGGGAACCCCCTCTTTTCGTGGCCGCAGGCCCAACGTGAGGGGCCTGAGCTGTAGCTTGGAGGAGAGAAGACGCCCCTCACCAGCTTCTCTGGAAGGTCGTGGGTGGCGCTGGGCCAGCCAGCACACATTTCCTGAGCTGTCACTCTAGAGGTTCAGGCACCTGGGTGCCCAGAAATCCCTCTCAGCCCCATCTCTTCATCGAGTCATTTCCGGGGGTCTGTCTAGGGCTGCAGACGGGCGTGGGTGGATCAGAAAGGGGTGGAGGTTGTGCTGAGGGCCGAGGGGAACCGAGAGGGCCCGACAGGTTGCTGAAGCCCCCTCCTCTGTTCCTCCGTTCGTTCGGGAGAGCCGGTTCTCTGTCAGAGCTGGTGGCAGTGACCCAGAGGAGAGCCCAGGCTTGCCTGTCCCCCACGCCACTGCACGCCAGCGCTCCCCACAGCGCCTGCCTGACTGGGGCAACTTTAGCTCTTGTTTGAATCTCCTGGCTCGGGGGCCCAGGCCTAGGACCACAGGCCTCTGGCCACCTCCCCAGCCCCTCCCCAACCCACCCAGCCCTGCCAGCCAGAAGCCCCTGTGACATTTCCCACCTCCTCCCCCTCTCCCCTGTTCTCCCACACTTTCCCTGTCTCCCCACCTTTTTTGCCTCTCTCTATCCGTCTCCTCTCTCTTGTCTTCCTTCTACCTCAATATCCTAACCATTTTTCATGCCTTTCCTCCAATCTCCTCCTCCTGTGTCTGCTCTAATATCCCTTCTCTATGTCTTCCCCAATTTCTCTTTTCTCTGTCCTGTCCTTGGCCTTTCCTCTCTGTTCTCATCAATGCCGCCTCTTGGAATTCCCAATCTCCCTTTTCTCCATCTCCCACCTTCCCTCCTACCCCGCCCTCATCCTCCTCCATCTCTTCTCCCCTCTTCTCCTCTCCTCACAATATTCCCTTTCTCTTTTTGTCTCCCCTATCCCCTCTCTCTGTTCCACCCCATCCTCTTCTCTTTCCCTCTCCTGTGCCTCCTCTCTCTGTGTCTCTCTCCATCCCCCACCCTCCATGGCCCCATGCTCCCCTCCCCGCCCTCTCAGCCAAAGCCTACAGCCCGGAGTTTTACTTCGACACCCCCAACCCCACCCGCAGCCACAAGCTGTCCAAGAACTACTCCTACGTGCTGCAGTGGACCCAGAGGGAGCCTGACGCCGTCGACCCTGTACTCAACTACAGACTCAGTGTCCGCCAGGTGGGCCGAGAGGGACAAGGCCTGGGTGCAGGGTGACCCTGGGAATGCTCCTCAAGCCAGGGGAAGGAGTTGGAGACAGGGCTTGGATACATTGACTGTCTTATAAACAACTCCTCAGAGCCAGGGAGAAAGTGTTCTGGAACAGCAGCAGGAGTTAGGAGGCGCTAGGGCCTTGTCCCCTCTGGACTCACGCTCTCGGCACAGCCCTGAGAATTGGACAGAGGTCCACTGGGTTCATACAGGAGGATGGGGGCAGAGCCACTTATAAAACACAGAATCTACCCTGGGGTCAGGAGCTGAAGGCCGAGAGGTCAGTCTCATCCACAGAGTTTCTAGAATGCAATGCCAAAGCCACCCTGCTGGTCTCATGTCCAGTCTAATTTCATGTGGCTCTGCCCAGGCCAAGGGGCAGTTGGTGTGGAGGGTGAGAGTGTGACTCTGAGGCAGACTGCCTAGGCCAGAATCCAGCTCTGTGTGAACTTGGGCAATCTACATCTGTTTGGCCTCAGTTTCCTTATTTGTAAAATGGGAGTAATTATAGTATTCCACCTCATAGGATCATTATTCTGAGGCTTAAATGAGTTAGTAATGGCAAATCACTTTGAACAGTGCCCAGAATGCATTAATTGTTCAATATCTGCTGTTATCACTTATTGTTAAGACAGCCCTGGGAGGTAGGCATGGAAGGGGTGATTGTCCTGTCTCACGGATGAGGAAATTGAGGGCCAGGCTTCCTAGTCCTTTCTCTTTCCGCTGCCTGACACTGACCACCCCCCACCCCCAAGTCACACCAAGGCTTGGGCTGGTGCTCTGGTGGGGGGCGTGGCCTGCCGGGCATCTGGGGACTCCCTGTATCTACAGTTGAATCAGCACAACACTATGGTGAAGGCCATCCCGGTGCGGCGCGTGGAGAAGGGACAGCTGCTGGAGTACATCCTGACTGACCTCCGCGTGCCCCACAGCTATGAGGTCCGCCTTACGCCCTACACCACCTTCGGGGCTGGTGACATGGCCTCCCGCATCATCCACTACACGGAGCGTAGGTGGTGGTGGTGGTGGTGGTAAGGGTGGGCCCATCTTATGCCCAGGGAACCCCCTCCACACTCCCCATATGGTTCCTGAGCTTGGGGATCCCCACTGTGCAGTGTTCTACTCCATCACTGCCGCCCAGGCCCCTCTGGGTCCCAGTCCTGGCTCTGGGGACCCTGTGCCCTGGTCCCAAGCCTGGGCACCCTCTGCATAGTCCCACAGCTCAGTTCTGACTGGTTTTCCTGCTTGCTTTCTCAGCCATCAACTCTCCCAACCTATCAGGTGAGATACCCCCCCACCCCCCACAACTCTCTTTCCCTTTAAGGACACAAGGGCTCCCCTGGTGGGAGGAAGGAACCCCAAGAGATACCCAGAGAGAAAACGGGGTGGAGAGCAGCAGCTGGAAGGAGAAGCAGAAAGGAGCAGTGCTGGGCTTGGGGATGTTTGCATCCAGGCTTTATTCTGGATCTTAAAGGCGGGGGACAGGGATGGAGTAGGAGGGACACCTCTAACTCAGGGCCTTTCATCCTCACTCAGCACCGTTCACTGTCCCCAAAAGAAAGATGAAGAGGCCAGGCTAATCCACATCCTCTGTTCTCTGGGGCAGGGATCATTAATCTGAGATCCGTGGACCACTAAAGGATCTGTGTGTAGAATTCAGGGGGTCATGAACCTAGAACCTGGAAGGGCATACAATGACTTCTTTATTTTCCCTAATTTCTAGTGGAAATTTAACGTCTCCTTCAATGATGAATGCAGGCAACTAACCACAGTAGTGTAATCACTGCCCGTGACTTTGTCATTAGGAGAAATCCAATGTTCTCACATCACCTTGAAGTTGTTGCAGCGATCTCTGAATGTCATTTACAGTCATTAGTATTTTAAAACTATGGTAACTATTAGACCTGACACTAGATCTTGTGACGTTATTAGATAATAAAGAAGTCCACTTATTATTATATCACACCTTTGTTTTTTAAAAATATTTTGACAAATGTGTTTCAGTATAATTGATTTCCTTTGTAACCCTATGCATTTCATTTTATGCGTCTAAAGTCATTATTCTGAGATGAGGTCCTTAACTTCACTTGATGCCAGAAGGGTCTGTGGCACAAAAATGGTTAAGAAGTCCTGTTCCAGGAACAGATTTGTCAGGGGCCCCAATGCCTGATTTCAAAGCCCTGGAATCCTGGGCCCACTGCGTGGATGCTTGGGAGCTTCCTTGGGAGGACAAGGAGGGTGAAACCGGTCCAGAGGGCCTGAGGGGGCTGACCTCTTTGTCTCACCCCCACCCCTTCCCGCCCCAATGCAGACAACACCTGTCACTTTGAGGATGAGAAAATCTGTGGCTACACCCAGGACCTGACAGACAACTTTGACTGGACACGGCAGAACGCCCTCACCCAGAACCCCAAACGCTCTCCCAACACCGGTCCCCCCACTGACATCAGCGGCACTCCAGAGGGTGAGGACATGGCCTGCTGCTAGGAATGGAGGACTGCTTCAGGGAGGGGTCTAGCCCCAGGGAGCCCCAGTCTGAGGGGAGACGCGGCCCTGCCCTCAGGGAGCCCCGGTCTGAGGGGAGACGCGGCCCTGCCCTCAGGGAGCCCCGGTCTGAGGGGGACACAGCTCTGTCCTGAGAGGATCAGGAAGAGGAGGAGCTGCAGTGGAGCTAAGGACTCATGAACGTGGCCCAGACTCCTGTGCTGTGCGGCAGGGAGAACAGGGTGGCTGGGGTGAGGCACCTGGGATTCAGACAGCTGAGGCTAAGGTAGAGAAGGAATCGGGTGGAAAGAGTCCTGGGTGGGGTGAAGAGGGGGCTGTTGGCGCATCTCCCCCTCCCTGCAGGCTACTACATGTTCATTGAGACGTCCAGGCCCCGGGAGCTGGGGGACCGTGCGCGGTTGGTGAGTCCCCTGTACAACGCCAGCGCCAAGTTCTACTGCGTCTCCTTCTTCTACCACATGTACGGGAAGCACATCGGTGAGTCGGGGGACCAGGTAGTCTGCCCGAGTGTGTGCGGGGGGCTGGAGGGGAGGCTCCGTAGGAGGCTGGGGATTGGCCCGGTGAGGCCTGGGCTTCCCAGCTTGGCTGAGTCACAGATCCTTGTAGGGGTGTGAGCAGAATCTGGGGAAGGGGGGATGTCCAGAGCCAGCTTGTCTGAGGTTTTGAGACAGTCAAGGCTTCCTGAGTCTGCAAAGCAAACGGCTCCAGCAGGATGAGATTTAAGTTTTTGGAGGGGATCAAGAAGACAGCTAAGAGGTTGCACGTATTGAGTGCCTGCCAGGTGCCAGATGCCATCCTGGGTGCGCTGCGTCTGTGGTCTCATTAACCCTCACAACCACCAGGTGAAGGATGTTACCATGTAAATCTGGGAGGTTAAGCATTTGGCCAAGATCACACAGCAACCCAAGTCTGTCTGACTCTCCCAAGCCCTAAACACAGGGTTGGAAGGGTGCTGCTTTGGGAGCGGTGAGAGGAAGTCCTGCTTCCTAAGTGTGGGCATGATCCTAAGGAATGCCCCTTGGGAAGCGATGGCACTGGCAGGAGTGTCACATGGATCAATGAACTCATCCGGCCAGCCATCACCTCTGGAGCCCCTGCTCAGTGCCAGGCATCAGCTGCTGCAGAGAACGGGGTGGACAAGTTTCCCGTCCGCTTGGCACCTACAGTCAAGTGGGAGAGACAGACATTAAATAACTAATTGCACCAGATAGGCCTTAGTGACCACCGTGACACAAAAGGACAGGGCCAAGACAGCTGGTAACAGGGAGACTTGACTGACTTGGGGCCCTGATTATGGAAGACTCTGCTGAGGAATTAACAATTTAAAACTTTTTATTTATTTATTTGCTTGTTTACATATTTATGGGAAAAGTAATATATTTTGCTAGGTCAACATGTACAAAAGGTGCATAATGAAAGGCCGCCTCCATCCCAGGCCTCCTGCCACCTAGAGCCCCTCCTCAGAGGCAAATTTCCAGAAATACTTTATGCATATAGAAACCACTACATATATATTCTGTTTTCTACCATTTTACACACACTGTTCTGTGCCTGGCTTTTCCCTCTGAACCGAACATCTTGGTGATCGTGCCTCATCAGGCCACAGAAAGCTTCATTGTTTTCCTCAGCTGCACTGTAGAGGAAGGGACTTAAGCAGAGTAAAGGCTCATTATGGAGAAGTCTCTGCAGCTAGAGTAAGGGATCAAGCGGAACTGATGAACTAGAATGGGGTGGGATGGAAGGTTCTGCATCCGTTGGGGCCCCCAGGCCATCCACACAGACCACTTTGCCTGTGGCTGGGTCTGGACTTCATGAGAAGTTTCCTGTGGGGTAGGTGGGGTGGGTGACCAGGACTGTCCTGCCCTACCCTGCCCAGCCCCCTCATTTCCATCTGGCTTCCCCAGCTGGAGTAACCAATTCAAACCAATTCCAACTTTTTACACCAAAAGTCCCATATCCCAGGCAAACCAGGACAGTTGGTCACTTTATCCTAAGCTTAGGAAGGGCACTGGGGTCCCAGCTGGGTCCAGCGTGGCCACAGGAGATCAGGCCTTATGAGCTGGGATGCAGAGACTTCCCCGAGGAGTGGTCTGTGCTCCAGAGCTTGCTCAGTGTCCCCAGCGGGGTAGAACAAACAGCAGTCAGTGAAAGCTTCCTGGCGGAGGCAGATTTGAATTCTACCTGAGGAAGACCCTGTAGGCGTCAGATCTGCCCAGCACAGGAGTGGGCCATCCTGTCCCTCGACAAGAAGACTGTTGGGCAAGGATGCTGTGGAGGGGACCCCTGTCCCAGGTCATGTTACTCCCCTGCTCTGTCCCCTTCCATCACCGTCTTCTCCAGGCCTCCCATACCTGATCCCGCCCTGCCTGCTTCTCTGTCGCCACCCCCTCTCCCCCTTGCACCACTTCACTCAGCTGGAGCACATAGCTTTCCTCAAATACTGAGGCAGCTTCCTGCTTTAGATGCCTGTGCTCATGATCTTCCCCTGGCCTGGAACATTCTTCCCTTCCCCTCCTTCAGATCTCCTCAGAGAGGTCCCCGACAGCCCCATCTAAAAGACCCCTCTAACTCTTTCCCTGCGTTATTTTCTTTTTAATGCTTACCACCAAGAGAGTCTAAGCCCCATGAGGGCAGGGGTCTTCCTCTTATTCACAGATGTATGTCTAGTGCCTGGAACAGTACCTGGCAATTAGTTGAATGAATGAACAAATGAATGACAGGGAGGTCTGGGCTTGACGAACCCTGAGGTAATTTCTCATCCTGAGATTCTGTGGAAGTCCTTCTTCAGTCCGGATGACAGTCATGGAAAGTTCTTCATTCAGCACTTAATATTGAGAACGGATAGGAATTTGATGGAGACGTTCCCTCAAGGAGTCAAACAGGCGGAGAAGATGGGAATGCCCATAACTGCCGCATCGCAGAGCAGGGCAGTCAGGGCCCGGGAGCTGCAGTTTGAGGACTCAGTTCACACGAAGGATAGGAGACTCCCAGCTCAAGCCTGGGAAGACTTCTTGGAGGAGGTGACGTTTCAGAGGCCTCGAAGCATGAGAAGGACTTGGCCACGGGAACATGGTAGAGGTGGGCATCTCAAGCAGTGGGAACAACCGGAGCAAAAGCCCAGAGGCCGGGAAGCTGGGGTATGTCCAGGTTTGACTTTGGAGGTGGCGAGGATGGTAGAGAATGTGGTGAGCAGGTCAACCCTTAAGGGAGGTTGAAGGCTCTGACCCCTGTGAAAGGCTGTCAGGAAGCAGGGGAGATCTTGGAGCTGATGAAGGCAGAAATTCAATTTTCGTTTGAGCAGTGAAAACGTGGAGTTCCCTCATTAGGGTCTTTGGGGAAGGGTGGTGGAGGAGGAAGAAAAGGTATGGGGATTGAGGCTGGACCCCAGGGAGATAGGAACAAGGGAAAGATCTCCAGGAGGGGAAAGAGAGATAGAGGTCCCTTTGGGGCTGGCTGGGAGCCCGAAAGGCACTGGGGTTTGAGCCCTGCCTAAGCTGGTGTGGCACTTCCTGGACCGTGGGGCGCTGGGAGTCACCCTTGCCCGGCCCCATCAGCTGGTGAAGGTTCCCCACGTACCTTGAACGTTTGGCAAGTTCCTCACCCGGGCCCGGGTCTGCTGCTGGGGAGAAGGATGTTTTTTGCTGTCCTAGTCCGTCCTCTCCCCTCCCCTCCCACCCTACCAGCTCTGGGCACCAGCTGTCCCCAGACCTTGTGTCTCACTGACTTTCTTTGGTCCAAGCCAACTCCTTTCGTCTCAGGCAGGTAAAATTGTGGTGCCTCTCCCCCACTGGGGGTCTGTCTATCTGGTGTCACAGATGGTGTGGCTTTGTCTGTGGGCAGTACCATGGAAATGCCAGCCACCAGGTGTCACCTAAGATTGATTCCCCTTCCCTTGGAGCCAGGTCTTTCCTGTCACTGGGGGCTCGAGGTGGGCTGGAAGAGCTGAGGGGTGGGCACTGACATTGCCTGGGTGCTCCTCGCCAAGCCTTGATCCCCTCCTTCTCTCCCAGTACCCCTCAGCACTTCTAAAATTCCAGGGCCCTGTGGCTGTGGGCGGACAGGCTCCAACTCACTCTTTTTTCTTACTTGTGTCCTAAGCATTAATATTAGAGAAATCACGGGTTTGAAGCCTAGCTTTATTCACCTCTTAAAACATACATATAAGAATTAACATTTTTTTATTGAGGTATAATTGACATACAACATTATATTAGTTTCAGGTATACAACATAATGGTTCAATGTCTGTATATATTGTGAAATGATCACCATAATAAGTCTAGTTAATATCTGTCACCATACATAGTTACAGAATCTTTTTGGGGGGCATGAGAAATTTTACTCTCAGTAACTTTCAGATACGCAATACGGTGTTATTAACTATAATCACCATGCTGTACATTACATCCCTAGGACTTATTTATCTTATAACTGGAAGTTTGTACCTTTTGGCTCCCTTCACCCATTCCGCTCACCCCCCTACACCCACCTTGAGTATTAAAAATGGAAAGTCTGTTCCTGTCCCTCCAGAAATCATGTACCAGGTGCCACCAGGGGTATGCATTGCACACTTTGGGACTCCTGCTCTGCACTCAGACACAGGCCCCACTGTCCTGGGACAACTCCCCTGTCTAGAGGGGGAAGGGTGGCATGAGTGTGTGTGTGTGTGTGTGTGTGTGTGTGTGAGGGATAGGGGGATTAGCTGATTAGGAAGGAAGGGAAGAAATGAAAATTTGCAGATTGTGTTGATGAACTGAAACCCTGCTATTGTCTCTCTCTTTCCTATGTTGAAGTCCCCCCCTGGGATAATGGGACAATGAACCGGTCTGCGTTGGGGAGAAGGTCCCATCCACCGGGGACAGTGCTGTGGGCAGTGGTGGGAGAGGGGGTCTTGGTGGATGTGGAAGGGTAAAGTGTCCTTGTCCAGACCTCACTGCTCCCCTCTCTTCACACTCCCCGCAGGCTCCCTCAACCTCCTGGTGCGGTCCCGGAATAAAGAGGCCCTGGACACGCATGCCTGGTCCCTCAGTGGCAATAAGGGCAATGTGTGGCAGCAGGCCCATGTGCCCATCAACCCCAGCGGGCCCTTCCAGGTGAGTATACTAGGCCCAGAACCTCCTCCTAGGCTCTCCCAGCCCTTGAGCTGTCGCTCTGGCCAGGAAGCACTTAGGAAGGCCCCGTGCTTGTTCTTGGGAGCCAGGAGGAACGCAGGCAGGGTACGCGAAGACTTCCAGGAAGGCTGCGGGGAAGGAGGGAGGGGCCTCTGGTGCAGAACCTCCTAACCTCTGCTCCCTGCTCTCTGACTCCACCCCAGATTATTTTTGAGGGGGTTCGAGGTTCAGGCTACCTGGGGGATATCGCCATAGACGATGTCACACTGAAGAAGGGGGAGTGTCCCCGGAAGCAGATGGATCCCAATAAAGGTGCAAGACGGGAGGGGGTGGGGGAGCCGAATCTGGGGTGGGGGGTGGGCACCTGTCTGTTTCGGGGGAGGGTGTTTGTATCTGAATGAGGATTCAGAGTGGCTGGGTGATGGGATGCATGTGTCGGTGACTATGTGAACACTTGGACCCCACTCTGGCTCAGGCTATGGGACATGTATAGGACAGTGAAAGGACCAGCGCCTGACCCCCTGAGAGCTAGCTGAGCTAATTACAGTCCAGAGTGCCTCCTGTGGCTCTGTGTGTGTGGGTCCAGAGGTGAATGTGTGCCCCCACCCTGGGGCCAGTTGTTTGCAATAACAGCTTGAGTTTACTTAGCGATTACTATGTACAAGGCAAGGTACAAAACCCCGTGTGTGCATGACCTCCTTTAATCCTCACAGCAGTCCTCTGGGGTAGCTCTTACATTAGACTCATTTTACAGATGAGGAAACTGAGGCCCACTGAGGTTGAGTAAATTGCTCCATGTCTTAGCTGCAGAGCCAGAATTTGGACCCCAGCAGGCTGAGTTAACACCCACACCACACCACCTCACGTCTGTGCTTACGAGCATGTCTGTGTGCGTTGAGGGCAGTGTCCACCTTCAGATGCCCAGGCGGGGGGTGGGGGTGTAGCAGGACCTCCCACAGCCTGCCCACTATGCCCTGGCCCTGCCGGGCTGACCAGAGCCCCGGCCTGTCTCCCTTCTCTCTCCCGTCGCAGTGGTGGTGATGCCGGGCAGTGGAGCCCCTCGCCGGCCCTGCCCGCAGCTCTGGGGGCCGATGGCCATCTTTCTCTTGGCGTTGCAGAGATGATGAGAGCTGTGTGGCCCCCCCCACCCCGCCCCCGGCACACCAAAGTGTCCACATCGTACCAAAGACTGACCCCGCCAGTCGGGGTGCCCAGGGGCAGGGCTGGCCCGCCAGGAAGGGGGCCTGCGTTGGCTGCGAGGATGAGCAGAAAACAAGGACAGAGGCCCGGCACTAAGGCCCTGGAGACAGTCGTTCGACATACGCACACGCTCACACACCTACACTCACACACACAGAGATATATTAAAGCACAAGTTTCTATCCGACCTGCCAGCACCTTCTTTACTGCGGAGACAGGGGACTCGTCTGAATGGCGTCTGCCACCCCAAGGACCTCGGCGCCACATAGGCCTTGTCCTGGCTGTACCTGTGGTGTGTTTCTGCCCTTCCCGGTCCCTAACTCAAGGCTCAGCTCCAGCCAGTGGCTTTACCAGAGGGAGCCAGAAGGGGAGCAGACGTGGGAGCCCCACCCTTGGCCGGATTCTGGGACTCCCTGGAATAGGGGAGGCCAGGGTCAGAGGGCGCCAGGTGGGACTTTGTGAGCTCTGTGAGTGTCCCTGTGCAGGGGACGATGAGGAAGGTGAGGCACCTGCTGCATGCAGCTCTGCTCCTAGGGTGAGGGCTGGAAGGTGAGCCCTCAGGTCACCCAGATCCCCTGACCTGTCCCTAGGATGTCATATTCCCCCCTCACTGTGCCCCTTCCAAGGGACCCAGCACAAGGTCTTGGGCCTGGGCAGTCTGAAGACTGATACCTTCCCCCGACCCCATCCCACCCCAACCCTACCCTGCAGGCAGCTGGATTCCTGAGAGCACAGTCCCTGTCCTGGTTGGCTGGCCTCGCCTCAGCCCCCAGCTGCATCTCCGAGAAGCCAGGGGAGTAGTGGCCAGGCCATTTTCTGGGGTGAGGCTTGACTTGAGAGGGGCAGAGGAGAAGGCCTGCTTTCTTGATTTCACTCCCCCCTCATATGGGGCACTGAATTTGGGAGTAGAGTGGAGCCTCCGTTTCTTATATACTTGGCATAAAGGGACGCCCTAGATAGGAGGGTGTGTGTAGGGGGGTGCCCTGCCCCCTCCACTGAAAAGCATTCTTTAGTTGGCTGTTCTCTTCCCACCCTGGGTTAATGAAGGAGGAGGGGTATGTAGAGCTGGGGGTAGAGGGTGGGGCACTTGCTGGCCCCATGTTCCCTGGGAGCTGAGCCACATGCCCTGAGCTGTGAAAGGGCTCCCTGTCCTTGGGTCCTGGGCTGGGAGCCTGAGACGGGCATGATGGGGTCCAGACCTCTCCTCTTTAACATCACCTCTGAGCCCCCCACCCAGCTCTCCATGGGAGAGAGGAGGCCCAGCCCCTTCCAGGATGAGTCTTCACGTATGTGTGCATGTGGCCATGTTTCTATGTGTGTGCATACACGTGTGTGCATGAGTGTGGGCCCCTTTGTGTCTATGTAGCACTATGGGTACATCTCTCGGCAGGAGTGTGTGTAAATATGAGTCTGCGTGTGCAATGATACATATTCATCTATGAGGCTGGGTCTACACCCCATCTCTGTGAGTACCTGTGTATGTCAGCATGCATGTCCATCTTCATCAGTGACATGAATGTTTGTGGGGTGCTGGCCAAATATACCACTTCCAGCCCTATCCTGTGGTCTCAGGCTGCCTGCCGCCACGTGGATTTCCACTTTTCATTCCCTATGGATAACAGAGAGCTTACGGATGACCCTGCTGAAATGCAAGCACCTGTGCTGGGGGTGTCACAGGACTCCTCCTGGAGCATTCGATGGGACAGCTGCGGAGAAGAGGCAGCATTGTGATACCAGGAGGCAGGCAGGGAACCAAAGCAAACGCTGCCCATCTCAGCGCTCTGCCAGGCCTGGGAGATCATCATCACCAACAGCTGGCGGGTGGCTGGGCCAGGGCTGGAGCCAGGCCTCCTGACACTGGACCAGCCCGGCTGCCTTCCTGGCCCAGCCAAGGCCTCTGTCCGAAATGAGTGGCTCTAGCTTTCCAGAATACGCTTCCATTGTGTCTGCAGGGTATTGTTCCTTAATTGTCCCATCTGTGCAGGGTCTCTTGCCCCAACTAGACTGTGAGCTCCTCCTCTGAACCTTCCAACCCTCTCCCCATCCCCTCCCACCCTCATGCCCAGCACAAGTGGGCCTATTATGGAAATCACTCAGCGGCTTTGCCCAGTGGAATGGATTATATAAACCAGTGGTTCCCAGTCCTGGCTGCAGAGTAGAACCACAGAGGGTCCCTTAGAAAGCACCAGTGCTTGGGTACCACCCCAGAGCTCCTGATTTAACTGGACTAGAGTGCAGCCTGGCACCAGAAATGTTTAAAAGTGCCTCAGGAGAACCCAAGAGGGGGAACCACTGGCCTGCTGCCTGCCGATGCTTCCTCTGTGCCCTCGCTGGAGTGGGCGCTGGAGATCCAGAGATGAATAGCCTGGAGTGCTTCCTCCTTGGGGCTTCGTGGCTCCCTATGCCTACTTCCCTCGGATGACCTTTGAATAAATCTGTCCCCTGCCCTGGCGGCTCCATGATGGGGACCCTGTCTCTCCTGTTCACCTCCATATCCATAGAGCCAGAGGCAGAAAAGGTGCTCAGTGTGTGTCCGCTGAGCTGAACTGCACACACGTGGCCCCTGAGTTCCTGGTCTGTTTGGGGAGAGGGGACATGGTCACAGGGACAAAGAGTGCAAGGTGGGGGAGTGACAGGGAGCACTGCTGGGGAGAGGTCACAGTGGGCCAGGGGCAGCCCTGGTTTGAGGGTGGCTTGACCTACGTTAACATGGTGTGCCTGAGTGCGACGCCGAGGTCCTTGGTCCTCATGTGCGGATGGGTGAGGTTGGTGTGTGTGCCTGTGTGTGCTGGCAGGTCTGCAGGGGGTGTGGGTGTCAGTGCGTGCTAACACTAACAGTGTGTGATGTGAGCGCTTAGGGGTGTTCCAGTCTGTGTGTGTGTGTGTGTGTGCGTATCAGGGAGTCTGCAAGGAATGAGTATGTCTCTGGGTGACTTGTGTGTCAGTGTTTGTGTGTCTGTGTGTGCCTGTGAGTCAACACCTCTGTATCAGTGTCGCCTGTGCTGTGTGTGTCTTTCTGTGCCAGTGGGTGTCAGCGTCTGTGCGTTGGTAGGTGGCCCTTGAAGACCCCCAGCCCAGGGGAGACCAGGCTGGCTGGATCCAGTGCATCTCCCCAGTGGCAGTCTCGCCCTCTGGGTCAGGGTGGCTGAGGCATTTTGTGGCCTTAAAATGGGGAGTCTAACCCTCAGGGTGTTGGGGTTCCTTCATCCCTGTCCCCTCCAGGCTGGCATCTGGGGGAGAAAGGGACTCCTAGGGCCAGGTGCCATACAGTTAGGAGAGGGGCAGTCTCAGCTTGACTGTCCTGCCCCTGGGACCACAGACAGCCACCTGGGGAGCTGAGCTAAGTCTGCAGACCAAGCCCCTCCTCCCGGGATGCTCCTCCCTCCTTTGCCCTCTCTGGGAGAGCCCTGACACCTTGTTCCCATGCAGTCTCCTTTCTCCCTGTGCTCCGCGAAAGTCCTGGCTCTGGTTGTCCGTGCTGGGAAGGGCCTCAGAGGTCTGAACCTCTCCAGTGTAAATGAGGAAGGTGAAGCCCAGAGGAGGAAAGGGACTGGTTGAAGTCGCACAGCCACTTGGGGTGGAGCCAGCCTTGGAAGCCAGGTACTACAGCCGTGGCTGTACTACAGCCCTGTAGTACTTCTGGTCACTGCCCCTGGGGTCTCCTGCCAGGCAGCGACAAGGAGCTTGGTCAGACTGCCCTGTCTCCGGGTGCTGGTACAGATGTTACTGGGGGCCCTGCACTGGGAGATGTACCATCTCCCTGCCTCCAATTCTGGCCTCTCATTCCAGGCCACCACCCCTCCCACCCCAGGTCAGGCCTGGATGACACGTGGAGGCTGCCTCCCTCTGCCCACACTGGCTGTCACTGCTGTCCAGGCTCCAGATAGAAGGGACTCTATTTCCCCTCCCCTCCCCTGTCTTCTCACAAGCCTGGGCTGGGAATGAAGCTCAATGTGTCTATGTCCTCATCCTGTCGACTTCCTAGGACCAGGAGGGCTGGAGGGGGGTGTGCAAATCCTTGTGTTTTCCTCTCCCTGGACAGCTCCAGGGACGTAGAGGGCATTTCCAGGTCTGTCCTCAGGAATGGGGTGGGTGAACCTCCTCTGGAGGGTCCCTGTAGGGCCACTGTTTGAGGTTCTGGGTTCAGGGGAGCCCTCCTTGCTTCCGAAGGCAGGGTAGCACACCCCTCCCTATTGAGTCAGTGTTCTGTGTTTGTGAGGTTGTGTGTGTGAGGGTGTGTGTGTGTGCTGGGGCAGAAGAACCACTCTTTCCTGGGGCCTCCTTGACCCTTAGAACTGGAAGGGACCTTAGAGACCATCTAATCCAGTGCCCCCACTGCACAGGTGAGAAAGCAGAGGTCCAGAGAGATGGCACTTGCTCACTGCCACCTGCTCTCCCTCATGTCGCCTGCATTCATTTCCTGGGGGCCCTACTGGGAATGCCCTCCCTCCTGGCACCTCTCTCCCTCCTCCCAGCCGCCCACATAATCACCATCTCAGCCCAGCTCTGCTGCCTCTCTGTCCCAGTGGTCTCCAAGCATCCTTCCTGCCCCAGGGTGGCCAGCTCACCAAGGCCTTTATCCCCAACCCAGGAGAAGAGGCAGGGGAAGGAGGGGACTGCTCCAGCCCGAGGCCTCAAAGACTTGGGAGAAAAGCCAAGCCCCCATGCCCAGGCTCCCCCCCCCAACAAGGTAAAAGCACAACAGGAGACCCTCATTAACGGGTGAAAGGTATTGGGGTTGTTTTAGTCACATGACCCCATCCTCACCCCTTTGCCTTGCTCTCTGTCTCCACCCCAGCCTCTGTCCCCTTTTTGTCCCTCTTTGACCCCCTAAACCCTCAAATGTAACCTCTAGTCGCGGACGCGGTTGTTTCAATCAATAAAGCTGAAGTGTTCTAGCGCTCTGGGTCGCTGTGTGTGTCGGTGGTGGGCGGGCAGGCTGGGAGGGGGAGCGGGTGAGCGGCTGGGGACTCCTCTCAGGCCCCTGGGGGGAAGCCCTTCTTCTCTTTGGCACCTGCTATCATGGATCCTGCTCTGCCACCTGGACAGTGGGGATCTGCGTCTTGGTCTCCAACCCCATGAAGTCAGGTGTCTTCATTCATTTGTTCCTTCAAGAAATACTAGCCGAATACTGCCTTCCTAGAAGCTCCTGCTTAATGGGGGAGATGGACACCAAGCCAACAGTTACACCAGGAAATGCATTGTTATGGATACAGGTGGGACCGTGAAGGAAGATTGGCACTGTGAGACGGTAAGAGGAGGTTCTTGTGTGGGTTGGGGCTTCAGGCAAGACTCCTCTAAAGAAGAAGCGTTTAGGGGAGACCTAAAGGGTGATTGGAGTTAACCTCCTGGGGCCAAGGGAGTCTTCCAAGCTAAGGAACAGAGTATGAAAGGTCTAGAGAGGTAAAAACAAAAAAAAACCTTAGAAGGCCCAAGGACGAGCAAGAAGGACAAAGAAGGAGGAATAAGGTTGGTCAACCGCCCGTACCAACTTTGCCCTTTCCCTTCTTGGCACCAAACCCCACCATCCCTCCTACACACTCTTACTCCCCTTATGATCTCTGTGTTCCTGTCCTGGCCCCACAAACCCCACTCTGCGCTCTGCTTGGGGCTTCCCCCCCCTCCCTTTTTTTTAAAGAAGATTAGCCCTGAGCTAACTGCTGCCAATACTTCTCTTTTTGCTGAGGAAGACTGGCCCTGAGCCAACACCTGTGCCCATCTTCCTCTACTTTATATGTGGGACGCCTACTACAGCATGGTGTGCTAAGCGATGCCATGTCCACACCCAGGATCCGAACCAGCGAACTGCGGGCTGCCGAGAAACGGAACGTGGGAACTTAACCGCTGTGGCACCGGGCCAGCCCCAAGGGGCTTCCTCCCTTATTCACAACCAGTTAGCTGCCCGCTCTCCCCCGAAATCATTTTGCACCAACTTTTCCCTTTTTCCTAGACCTCTCAGAGTCCTAGAATTTCAGAGCTGGGAGGTCCTTAAAGGGCACTTATTTCAACCATCTACTCCTATGTTTTCTTTAGGAGAAATGCTTGCCAAGATCACGGGAGCAAGCAGTGATGAGGAAAATTCACTCTCCCCTGAACAGTCTCAAAGTGACCCCAAATCAAGGGCGTGGATGTCGTGATATGAACTACAGGGAGATCAGGCAAATGACAGGAATAGAGTCTTTCGTGTTACTTGGTTACAATGCCTCGGGTAGTTACAACAGATGGTTTCATTTCCATGTTCCAGATGGGGAAACTGAGGCTCAGAAAGGTGACAAGACTGCACCTTTATTAACTCACATCTTGGGTAACTTCTTACCCAAGAATCCCGCTGCCACATGCGGGATTTCTACTCTAAGAGCTTGAGATCTACCACTGCATTGGGTCGGCTCATTGGGTACAAGGAAGAGACCCACTCAAGCTCATTCAAGTATGGGAGCATTATTGTGAGGGGACAGATACTCTCAGAAAGTTAAGTGCGGAAGCTGTATAACAGGGATGGATTTCTTGAGCCAGATAGGTATTCTGGATTCAAAGTAGCTTTAGGAGTTTATGGCGGTTACTTGGCAGAGTAAAGATAGCCTCCAATCCTTTGTTATCCTTCCTATAGAGAGGGAGAGTCTAATTCCCTTCCCCTTGAATCTAGATTGGTCTTAGTGACTTGTTTGGACAACAGAATGTGACGTTCTGAGTTGAAGATGTCTTGCAGCTTCAGCTCAGGCCTCTGGGAACATCCTCTCTGGGAGCCCTGAACCACCATATAGGATGCCCAACTCCACAGAGACTGACATGCTGGCGAGGCCATGTGAGGGGCTGCAGATGACTGTCCCAGCTGAGCCCAGCCTTCCCTCCAAAGGTCCAGACGTGGGAGTGAAGCCACCTTGGACCTTCCAGACAAGCCCATCCACCAGCTAAATACCTCTGTCGATGCCACATGGAATAGAAGATTTGCCCAGCCAAGCTCTGCCCAAATTCCTGACCCACAAATCATGGGATATAATAAAATAATTGTTTTGAGTGCCTGGGGTTGGGGGTAGTTTGTTGCAACAGCAGTAGGTGACCACCTGAAATGAATCAGCCACTTTCCAACATCTGCTTCTTTTTACCCACACAGTTCCTTTCCTGACTCATGGTGTCTGCTCCTTTATGACTTCAGCCTTCTGGGCTTGTGACCACTCCCACTCGAACTTTCTTTCACAACCTTCCAGTGGCAGCTCCCAGCATTCACTGACTCAGCCTCTCTAGAGAAAGGGCCCATTGGACTGGCCCACCATTTTGTGTCTAGTCACACATACATCATTGGCCACCCTTGGGTCAGGTGCCACCCCTGATCCAATCAGCTAGATTGGAGGAAGAGGTCATGGATATAAAACATGGCTGCTTGGGAGCTGCTGTTTCTAGAGACGCAGTGGGTGAGCTCACTTTGGAGGGGTAGGGGGCTGGCAGGCACCATAAATGTACCTCCTTGGTTCTTCTCTTCCACTCCTCCTCTAATGACTATCTGTTCCCAGGGGCACAGTTGTGCAGTGTGTGCACCATGAAAGTGACTCCCTCCAAGGGCAGGTCCCAATGTAAACCATACAAGTATGTTGGGTGTCTCACGGGGACAGAGTCTCGTGTTACTTACTTACGTTGACTCAGATATTTTTATTTTCCTGTTTACAGATGAGGAAACTGAGGCTCAAAAAGCTCGTAAAATTAGGAAGGGGAAGAACCTGGAGGCCAATCTAGATGTTTGATTTCTGGTGCAGTGTTTGCTCACATCAGCTGGATCCTCTGCTCGTCTTCCCCTCTGGGATCATTCTGCTTTTCTCACCAGCTCATCCACAGGGGCTGGAAGATGCAGGGCCCTTCCTTGTGCAGCCCTCCACTTTAGATGGAAATTGTCCCTGATTCTGGTTTTCTATTTCTAGCTGCCTGACCTTTTTACATATGTCCTTTGTGGAAAGCTACTATAACACCTTTTTAGAAAGAGATTGGGTATAAATAAATCTAAGAAAAAAGTTGAAACTCTTCTTCTTGAAGTCACCCCAACCCGGTGGAGATATCCCTCCATGCTGCTTCTCGAATCCTGGGCCCCCAAATTTATCTTTCCTGGGTGTGCAGCCCCATCAGCAGCCAGCATGTCTCCTACTCTGAGGTCAACGTGGCAGGTGCTCCCTGAATGCAAATCCTACCACTGATTCCATCACCCCGTATCTTTTGCAGTTTCGGTCTTTAAAAATATTTTGAGCTTCCTATTTCTCTCAAGCCCTGACTCAGTCGAGTGGACTTGGCACCTTGCAAGGTCTACACAGCATCTGTCTGCGCATGCTGTCCTAAGTAGAACCTCCCTCTTGGTGCCGCCAACCCCCCAGACCCATCCACCAATTCACTCTCATCTGCAAGGTGGTGAGAAATAGAGTAAAAAACATGAGTCAGAGAGGCTGAGAGTGCCAAACGTCCACACAGTGGGAGTCTGTTGCCATTTCAAGACGTCCACAATGTATTGTTGAGAGAGAAAGGCAGATGAGAAAAGAGCATGCCTATTACTATCCAATTTTTTTTATATAAAAATATCTGTGTGTGTATGTGAGTGTGTGTATCTAGAAGAATATTCATGGAGAGGTGAACAGGAATCTCAGTGGTGAAATTTTAGGTGCTTCCGACACACATCTTTAGACTTTTCTGTATTGTCTGAGTATTTTTATGTGAACATGTATTATTTTTAATAATCAGGAAAAAAATCTATTTTCTTGAGAAAAGAAAAGCCAGAAGCCATCAAGGACTACAGATTAGAAAGAAAGGTCACTTTTTGTTCTCAGCATTATTTTGATAACTGTGCATCACAAAGATTGGGAAAGGGCTTTGAACTTAGGCCTTGAAATCTCTTCCTGCTGATTTATTCAAATAAAAATACTCAGACAATCGGAAGGAGAGGCAGAAGGACTGGGTTGCGTCAGCCAGGGATGAGGAGATGCGGATGGCAAGGCAAGTTTTGAATAAGAGAAATCCCTGGAGAATAACTTCTTCCAGCAACAAACACTGACATTTGAGGTACGCCCAACCCCTGTGCCTGTGTGTGTGTGTGCATGTGTGCTTGCACACATGTGAGGGCCTGTGCCTGCTCTCTTTGGGACACGGTGGCATTGGCAGCCCCTGTGCAGTGCTGGCCTTTCCCTCCCTTTCATGAATGAGGGGCCGTTTAAGGAGGCCTCACTCTGCCTAGGTGAGTGTGTGAGCAGACACACTGGTGGTGAGGGGAGCAGGCAGGCCTGGAGGGGAGGGGCCAGGACTGCAGATGGGTCCTTCCCAGGCTCTCCCACCCCCAGCAAGCAGGCAGCCCCCTTGGAAACTCTCAGACCCTTGACAAGAAGCATCCAGACCTCTGCTGATCCCTGCTTCAAGAGTGGGGTCAGAGAAGGGGTCCTGATTCCACCAGAGAGAGAGAGGCTGAGGGAGGCGGAGCACTTCAGGCCGAGGGAGTAGAAAGAGCACTGTGAGGAGGGACAGGGACTCCTGGACCCAAATCCTGGTTTGTGACCTTGAACAAGCCAGCCCCATCCTGGCTTCAGTTTCCCTGTAAATTGGGAGAGGGAGTGGGGAGGTTTGAGCTCGAAGGTTCTTCCAGCTCTGGGGTTCAATGAAATGAGCCCATGGGCTGTCCTAAGCAATGCAGAGAACGGGGGCCCACAAAAGGGTAAATGGAAGTTCCTACAACATAGTCCTGTTTCCGTTTGTGGGACTGAGCATCTGTCTGTCTCTGCCCCGATCCTTAACACTGGGGACCCGGTTACCCAGGCCTAAGTGGAAGCTAGTCAACCTGCTCCTCCTCCACACTCTCAATCCCTCAGCCAGGCCCCACCCCTGCCAAGAGGCAGGCAGGTGACAGGAACAGCAGCAAGAGGAGTCTTG